TTAACACTGATAGTCATAATGATATGCAAGTTATGACTAATGCAGTGAGACGTTGTTTTCACAAAGCAAGATGTAACCTGCATCATTTTATTTAGAAAGGGAAATGAGTGGGAAAAAAAAAAGAGTCATTGTACTATCATTAAATATTTGTAGTGAAATTGTTAAAATGAGATGTATTTTGTTTTTTTAAATTTAACCCATGCAGTTTTTTTTGCCCTGAGATAGCAGAAACTCCTGTACTGACTAATTGAAACCAGATGAACCAGGTTAATTTTGTTCTACGTGTAAATCCTGCAATACAACAAATATATTGCTATTGCATAAACATGCCTGTTTCCTTAGTGCAGTGTCAGCAGTGAATAATCTGCCATTCTTTTGAAAAAGAGAGCACACAGGCTTTGATATGTTTCCATACAGTTTACCTGTTAGCTTGCTGTACTATCAGGAGATACTTTAACTAGTAGCAAAATTTGCACATGTTGCAACTTTGAAGCAGCTGATTCTGAAGCAACATCTAATAAAGCATGGACAAAAAAAAAAAAAAAGAATCCTCCTATTTCCTACCTTATCTTGTTGGACGGGAGCTTATCCTAACATGGTACAGTTCTCAGTAGGTCAACAAGCAGAAATGCCTTGAGATGTGGTTCAAGAAAACAATAACAACAACAATCAAACAAAACACCAGAAGAAAAGCCTTAGAGAAAGATGAAGAACATGCACATTATTCCCACAATTAAGTTTCTTCTATGAAATCTTGATTGCATAATTTCTGTTGATTCACTAATTGTGCACATAATGAGTTTGTCGTGACACAATTGATTACAATATAAAAAATAAACTATGATGTTGTGTTGAGTATTATTTAAAAACCTTGTTCTTGTTTCACTAAATTATAAATTGTGCCACTCCACGTGCAGCAGAGCTAATTATGAGAGCTGTGTATGGGGTAAAAACTTGAATTTGTCAACATTCTATGTAACAAGTTATCTGTCTGTGATAACTGCTCTGCTGTAGTAGATTTGTTAACAACTTGAAAACAAGTATTTCACCCTATCCCCCCCCCCCCACACACACATACAGAAGATGATTAAGAGAAGAAAATTAAGAGTTAAAAAAAACCACAACTATATATATATATATATATATATATATATATATATACACATTTATTTATTTTTTTCTTCTTTCGGCTGCTCCCTGCATTAGGGGTCGCCACAGCGAAATGTCACACAAAGACTTGGCAGTTATTTTTACGCTGGATACCCTTCTTGACGCAACCACTGACACCGAGCTACCACAGCTCTCTGTGTGGAGCGAAGAGCTGCTATCTAGGACATCCAGAGCAGCAGATGATGGGAGTTAAGGGCTTTGCTCAAGGGCCCAGGGTGGGGTGAATGAGGGTGGGGGCAGGTGTGGGTGCTTCACCTACCCCACCCATATTTTTGATGTTTTACGGATATTGGTGGATGACATGAGTTTCCTCCACCAGGTATTTGGACTCTTCCTTAGAGATACGGTGAGAAGTTCAGTTATGCAGGAGAGACTCTGAGTAGAGCTGCTGCTCCTCCACATCGAGAGGAGCCAGTTCAGCTGGTTCAGGCAGCTGGTAAATATGCTCCCTGGGTGCCTCCATAGAGGTGCTTCGGACATGTCTGACTGGGAGGAGACCCCGTGGGAGACCCAGGACACAATGCAGAGACTACACCTTGTTATTGGCCTGGAAATACATTGGAATCTTTCCAGAAAAGCTGGAAAATGTGGCTGTGGAGATATATGTCTGGACCTCATTGCTCAAGCAGCTGCCCCCGCGATCCGACTACAGAACAAGTGGAAGATGATGGATGGATGAATGGATGTATAATTTTACTCTCTCTCTCTCTCTCTCTCTCTCTCTCTCTCTCTCTCTCTCTCTCTCTCTCTCTCTCTCTCTCTCTCTCTCTCTCTCTCTCTCTCTCTCTCTCTCTCTCTCTCTCTCTCTCTCTCTCTCT